CCGCCTTGGTCACCCCTCCTTGCCTCATCTCCGAGGCATGGCGTCCCGTGTCCTTGTCTCTGGTCTTCCTCGGTCTCTCCCTCCCCTTCCTCTGGGGCCTGGCCCTACCTGCGTCCCCTGCGTCGAGGGGCGACAGCGCGCCGCCCCTCACTCCTCCGAGTTTCCTCCGATAGAGGCTCCGCTGCAGACTCTCCACATGGACGTGTGGGGCCCAGCCCGCGTCAGTGGGCAGGGGAGAGAGCGGTACTTTCTGCTGGTCGTTGACGACTACTCGCGTTACACCACAGTCTTCCCCTTGCGCAACAAGGGTGACGTCACTGAGGTGTTGATCGACTGGATCCGCGCAGCTCGTCTCCAGCTCAGAGAGAGTTTTGGCTCGGACTTTCCTGTTTTGCGTCTGCACTCGGACAGAGGAGGGGAGTTTTCCTCTGCCCGTCTGGGAGCCTTCTGTCGGGCACAGGGCATCTGCCAGACCTTCACGCTTCCGGCCTCTCCACGGCAAAATGGGATTGCTGAGCGCCGCATTGGCATGGTCATGGACGTCGCGCGTACGTCCATGATGCATGCGGCTGCCCCCCATTTTCTGTGGCCGTTTGCGGTTCAGTACGCAGCGCATCAGCTTAACCTTCAGCCCCGTGTCTCCTTGCGAGAGACCTCCCCCGCCTTGCGGTGGACATGGAAGGTTGGCGATGCGTCTGCGTTTCGGGTCTGGGGATCTCGGGCGTTTGTCCGCGACTTGTCTGCGGACAAGCTGTCCCCTCGTGCTGTTCCTTGTGTCTTCCTTGGCTTCCCCCCTGACGCGCCTGGCTGGCAGTTTTACCACCCCACCTCGCGCCGTGTTCTGTCCTCCCAGGACGTCACCTTTGACGAGTCGGTTCCTTACTACCGTCTCTTCCCCTACCGCACTGCGCCCCTCCCCCCGCCACCGCTCTTCCTTGCGCTAGGTGCTGCTCAGGTAGACCCCCTCCCTCCTCAGGGTCCTGCCCCTTCAGCTGTGTCCCAGGTAGACGCAGTCGAGCCTGTCGAGGTAGCTGTAGACTCTGGTGCTGCTAGAGGTGCTGAGCCGGCGGGTGCCGGGTCTGCTGGTGCCGCGTCTAAGGTGCTGAGTCTGGGGGTGCTGAGACTGGAGGTGCTGAGCCTGGGGTTGCTGAGTCTGGGGGTGCGGAGCCTGGGGGTGCTTGGTCTGCTCGTGTGGCCGCCGGCAGTACTTCGTCGAGGCGGGAGCCGCTCTCTCCACAGGAGCTGTGCGTGTGGTTCGCCCGCCGCTGGAGACGTGCTGCTGAGTCTGGGGGTGTTGGCGCTGGTATTTCTACTGGTGCTGGTGCGTCTGGGGGTACTGCTGAGGTAGCTGGTGCTGACGGTCCTACTGGAGTTGGTGCTGCTGGAGCTGGAGCTGCTGGGGGTGTTGGTGCTGGCGGTGCTGCTGGCGCTGGTGCTTCTAAGGGTACTGGAGTTGGCGCTGTTGGAGCTGGAGGTTCTGCTGGCGCTGGTGCTGCCGCTGGGGGTACTGGTGCCGTACTTGCTGGTTCTAGAGGCGCTGGGCGGCCGAGGCCGTACTTCGTTCCGCTCCTGGAGCAGGTTCTTGGTCTCCCGCCCTCTACTGGTCCTGCTCCTCCCCTAGAGTGTCCACCGCCTGTACAGTCGCAGTCACAGTTACCGCCCGCCTCCCCTCTACCTGCTCCTTCTCCCTACACTGGTCCTACTGGAGGTCTTGCTGAGCGTCGTAAGCCTGCGTCTCGTCCCGCGTCACCTGTTCGTGCTGCTCGCACTAGTGGTCGTACTGCGCGTCCGCGTCCTCCTGCGGTCCCCGGCACACACCAGATGGCACTGCGTCCTTCCACTGCTCCTCTGCGTGTCCCGTTGCCGTCTCCTTTAGAGTCCTCTCTTCCTTCTCTTACTGACCCGGAGTCTGACTCCCTTCGTGCTGCTAGTCCTTCGGTCACGCGCCTTCTTGCTACTGTCGTCACTGACCCTTCCTTTGAGTCCGCTGCTTCGTCTGCTCTCGTTGCTGAGCTTGTCGACTTCGCTGCTCGCTGTCGTCTAGACTTCGCTGCCACTCTTGTTGCTGAGTCTGAGTCTGTCTGTCCTCCGTCCGTCGGGGGTGAGTGTGCTCTTAGCACGGACGTCCTTGAGGACAGGCAGGAGAAGTTCCAGTGCTTTGCGGCTGCTTTGCCCCATCTCGTGTCCACGCTGATTGCCCCTGAGGGAGACCCGGATGCACCAGACATCCCGACTCCTCGATCGTACGCTGAGGCAATCGAGGGTCCCTACTCCTCTCAGTGGCAGTCGGCCATGGATGCAGAGATGGCTTCCTGGAAGTCCACAGGCACCTACGTCGACGAGGTTCCCCCACCTGGGGCGAACATCGTCAGTGGGATGTGGATCTTCAGGGTGAAGCGGCCGCCAGGCTCTCCGCCTGTCTTCAAGGCGCGTTACGTGGCTCGAGGCTTCAGTCAGCGGCAGGGAGTTGACTACTTTCAGACCTCTCCCACCCCGAAGATGACCACTCTTTGGGTGCTGCTGCACATAGCCGCTCAGCGCGACTACGAGCTTCACTCTCTTGACTTCAGCACTGCTTTCCTGCAGGGCAGCCTGCACGAGGAGATCTTACTGCGCCGCCCTCCTGGCTTCACTGGGTCGTTTCCTCCTGGCACCCAGTGGAGCCTCCGGCGGCCAGTCTACGGTCTCCGCCAGGCGCCCCGTGAGTGGCACGACACACTGAGGACTACACTTGCGGCTCTTGGGTTTGCTCCTTCTACAGCCGACCCGTCGCTGTTTCTACGCACCGACATCTCTTTGCCGCCGTTCTACATCCTCGTGTACGTCGACGACCTGGTCTTTGCCACTGCTGACACTGCTGGACTCGCCCACGTGAAGTCCGAGCTGCAGAAGAGACAGACGTGCACAGACCTGGGTGAACTGCGCAGCTACCTTGGCTTGCAGATCACCCGGGACAGAGCACAGCGCACCATTACCCTGACTCAGTCACACATGGTGCAGCAGGTCCTTCAGCGCTTCGGCTTCACGTACTCCTCGCCTCATGCCACTCCTCTGTCTACTCGCCACTCGCTCTCAGCTCTGCCTTCGGATGAGTCCGTAGAGTCGAGTGGCCCGTACCCAGAGCTTGTTGGCTGCCTCATGTACCTGATGACCTGCACACGACCTGACCTTGCATACCCTCTTAGCATCTTGGCACGCTATGTTGCTCCTGGGAGACACCGACCAGAGCACATGGCTGCAGCGAAGAGGGTGTTGCGCTACGTGTGCAGTACGTCGGGCATGGGGCTAGTGCTTGGAGGGCGACGTCGAGTAGTCCTCACAGGTCACGCTGACGCTTCTTGGGCTGACGACCAGGCTACGCAGCGGTCGTCACAGGGTTACACCTTCAGCCTTGGCTCCGGCTCTGTTTCGTGGCGGTCTACCCGCTCGTCCTCTGTTCTCGGCTCTAGCTGTGAGGCTGAGATCTACGCAGGGGCCATGGCTGCACAGGAGCTACGCTAGCTCACCTACCTGCTGAGTGCCCTAGGAGAGCCGCCTCGTTCTCCTCTAGTTCTGTACGTAGACAACAAGGCCATGTTGGCCTTGTGTCCGGAGCACAGACTGGAGCACAGAACGAAGCACATTGCTCTCCGCTACTTCCTGTCTCGTGAGCTGCAGCAGCGTGGTCAGCTGCGCCTTGCTTACGTGGCCTCTGAGGCCAACACTGCTGATATCTTCACCAAGGCCCTTCCGCCTTGTGATCATCAGCGCTTCTGTACTGTGCTAGGTCTTGTGCCTACCTGGCCTCACTTGCTCACTTCTTGATCTTGTTTGTACTGTCTTCTTTCTATACCTGCCCTTGCTTGTTTTACGTTTATATATATGACCTTGCATGTGAACTAGCCTTGTGGCCTTACTCTTGTGCTTGGACTGTGTGGTGACTTTGTGATCCACCCTGAGCTTGCTTTGCTTTGCTTTGCTTTGCTTTGCTTGACTGGTCTTGTGACCACTTGTTCTCCCCCACTTTGCCTATGGGGGTGTGTCAGAACATTATAGATTATACATTTGTGTAGGCTGTAGTGGGGTAGCCCATAAGGGGTACAACCCAATTAGGGTTAGTACTTGTACCCAACTGTTTCATAGTTCATTCATTCCATTCTCACTTCTCGTCACGTATATCACTGTATTCGCCACACTCGCCACCGTTATTACTCGCGACATTCGCCTCGACTTTTCCCCGCCACCTCGCCCGTCGCACCCCAACCTCACGGCTCGGCTGGTAACCCGCGCTCCAGGCCTCCACCTCGACATTTCCCAACCTCAGTCCCAACCTCAGTCCCAGGCCCGTCGCGCACAACCCACAGTTCGTTACCGTTACCACTATAGCTTTCGCTATTTATTTCTCGCTCATGCCTTCGCTATTTATTTCTCGCTCGTGCCTTCGCTCATTTGTACTGTTTTGCTTCTTCAGTGCAATTCTCGCTCGTTCGCTCAATTGCACTCGTAACAATAAGAAACAGATCCACAAAACACAGCAATTCTCATGTACAGTTCTGTTAGGTCTTAAGTGTACTACGTTCTCAAAAACCGGGATAGCACAACACACCAGAACCGCCGCCAACCGAAGCGCTCTCGCCGCCAACATGCGGTTCGATTCCCGCCACCCTGACTTGCTGCTCCTCGTCGGTGCCAGACGCATTCACACATCCGCGCCTACTTTTCTGTCCTTCCTGCTCCCCTCACCTCTCTCTTTTCTCTTCACAGGAGTGATGCATGCTGGGTAGAGGTGACTGAATTTCTTAGTGGCTTGGTGGGGCCGATGGATCACTACTACATAAGGGTAGACTTGGATCCCACCTTCTCCCACTCCATAACTGTTGCTATCGTTCAGATCGCGCACTCTGAAAGTCCTGGTTTTAATATCGATTGTATGCTGATATCTATAGGCTGATTAGCCAACTTTGGTTGGTGCCAAGCTGAGACCTGCATGAAGGAAAGCGGCAAATAGTAGCCATATGAAGATGGTCCCCTCACGTGGCCGCGTCAAGCCGCTCCTGCGACGACCTGCCGTGCATGACATCTGCGCACGAATGGTGGCGAAGTTCGCACTCTTCCCTCTGCTGTGCGTCGTTCTTCAGTCACTCGTTCAAGCGTCTGCGGAGCATCAACCGCCGCTGAACTCCTACAACATCATGACTCCGCCATCACCGTCGTTCAAGTCACGACCAATCCTTTCCTTGAAGGAAATCGTCCCTTACGATCAAGGCGCGTCTGACACGTGGGCCAACGATGACTCGCCGGATGATCCGGAATCTCCTCCCGCGTCGACGACACGAACGCCACCTCCGCCGCTAAGCTCCCCGGCAGTTGCGGAGTCGCGCGACTGCCAGTACGACTCGCTGGACATCACCGCCTGCTCCATGGGCTATGCCGCGTCGGCGAGAATCAACGGAGGAAGATTCCGGGTAAGGAAATATAGGAAATATACGTCTTAGTATTACTACTAGTAGATAATTTGGTGACCTACTTGCCTGCCTCTAAATCGCCGTCGTTTTTGCACGAAATATTTTATCACTTCTGTGAATCATCCCTCTCCCTTTCCGTGTGTCGTTTTTTCTTCCCCGCCTCTTCTTACCCACGATCCGCGGCAGCCGCGGTACGTGGTAACAACGAGCTTCGACTCCACGGACGTGTCGGCAGTCCCCGTAGGATCGCTCCGGTGGGCGCTGCAGTATCTGACGGACGGCGCGTACATCGCGTTCGATTCGTCCATGGACGTGTGGCTGCAGGCCGACCTCTTCGTGCCGTCCTTCGTCACCATTGACGCCCAGGGCGCTCAAGTGCGCATCCTCAACGGCACCCTCGTGCTGTCGGGCGCGCGCGACGTGATTATTCACAACGTCGAAGGTGCGTGCGCGTCGCACGGATGACACGGTGAAGGGGGGAACGCGATGCGCGCGCGTGCGTTTCGCCGCGGAACGCCGCACGATTCGCTGTCGTTTCATCATCGTTTTCGCCGATTCATTCGCTTCCAAACTTCGCCTTGAGATTTTACCAGGCTGGCGTGTCCCAAACGCTGACTCACATCAAACTCCCTTCTTGCGTCCGTGCGTGCGTGTTGGCGTGATGGCAGTGGCGGGTCAGCCGCGCGGCAGTCTGATAACGCTGTACGGGTGCAAGCGCGTGTGGATAGACCACTGCAGCCTGCACGACGCGGCGGGGGCGATCATCGAAGCATGGCACGGCACCACGGACGTTACCATCTCCAACAACTACATCCGCAACTCGCTGCCCGCCTCGCGCGTCATCCAGGTCGCCACCTTTCACAAACGCCTTCTCACCCGCCTATGTCGCGTGCTTTGTTATCGGTACTTCTCGACTCCCTTGTCTCTCCCTGTCATGTATGCTCAAGCCGTCATGACTGTTTCACCGCAGGGGCGACATTACTTCAACTACTACTGACGTTCTGCTGTGTTGCGTCGTCCGCGCAGATGGGAATCCACGACGCGGATCCAGCAGACGCCACCTCGCGGGTCACCATATTCCGCAACTGGTTCGACGCGTCCACCTCCATGCAGCCCCTCTGCCGACGTGGCGTCTGCCATGTGGCGAACAACCTCTACACCTCCTGGTCGGGGTATTGCCTTGCCGCCCGACGAGGCGCCACCATATGGTCTGAGAGAAATTTCTTTCGTCCCGGGCAACAGCAATTCGTCAGCGGATTGCAACAGCAGCAAGGGCCGAGCAGTACAGGGAAGTTGCCACAGGAGGTGACCACGTGGCGCGACGGGATGGGCCCGCTGGACCCGGATTTCGATCCAACGGTGGTGATACGCTCCGTGGGAGACTACCTCTTCGACGGAGCTACGTTTCACGAGTGGGGGAGAGTGAAATCCGGCGCGGGAGGACCGGGAGCAGGGGGATGGGTGCAAGCAGCACCAGTGTTCCCGTACGTGCTGTCGCTGCTGACCAACACCAGCCGGCCTGACCGTGTGATCAAGCAGAACGCCGGCCCGCATTATCAAGAGATCATGCTCCTTCCGCCACTTCCCTCGCCCCCCCCTCCGCCATCACCTCCCCCCTCCCCACCGCGCCCCCCGTCTCCTCCTCCTCCTCGCCCTCCCCCGTCCCCTCCCCGCCCTCCTTCGCCTCCTCCTCCCCCTCCCCCATCGCCCCCACCCAGGCCACCAACCCCTCCACCCTTCCCACCTCCATCACCCCCGCCTTCCCCTCCTTCCCCACCACCAACCCCCCCACCCCCCCCACCTTCTCCCCCACCACCACCGCTGCCTTCCCCTCCTCTCCCACCACCACCCCCGCCTTACCCTCCTCCCCCACCACCTCCCCCCCCTTCCCCTCCCTCCCCTCCTCCATTCCCCCCTCCCTCCCCTCCTCCAGTCCCCCCACCTTCCCCTCCTTCCCCACCTCCATCCCTCCCACCTCCGCCTGCACCAGCTTCGTCACCTCCTCCTCTGCCTCCCCCTCCACCATACCCCTTCCCACCAACTTCCCAAGACTCCCCTGCTCCATCAGTCTCCACTGCATTTCCTTCTCCATCCGCCACCTCACAACCAGGTCTAACTTCCCCCCCTGATCCTATACTTGCATCGCCGTCAATGCCGTCAGATCCTCCTCCCTATATGAACACAGCAGATCCACCTACACCGCCTGTAGTACCAGCCCAGGTTGTCACCACCACAGTGGCTACTGTGTACAACCCTTTGCTTACCTTGCCTGGTGTCAGTTACCCATAGTGACAGAACTGATTGAAGAAAGTGTTTGATGCATGTATAGTCGGCCTGCTGTAATGCTATTAACAAGTACTGACTACTCAGTACATGATATTGTGACTGCGGTTGGAGAGCTACCGGTAACAGTTGATTTTTTGTTTTCCAAACATGACCTGAACAGCCGTTGGTACTTTAAATCACCAGTGAGAAAATAGTACCGTATGTGCTATGGTGACTGCAGCTTTGGCAAACTTGACCTGAAACGACATTTTGCAAACTACAGTAGCAGGAAAGGGCTTACGGTACAGGCAGTTATGTGGTGAGACACGGTAGCTGCAAAGCTGGAGGAGACGACTATATTTACCGTATCTATATGGCGATGGGGGAAGGGGGAGTATCGGGTTGACAAGAAAAACTCATAGTGATGCACACTCCATGCAAAATTGCCAACGTTTCTAATAATATTAGTGCTGAGCTAGATTGGAGAGCAAGAGATGGTCCAAGTGGGGTGGGTGAGGGGCGAAGCATGGGAGGAGCAAGGATGGTGGCGGATGGGAGGGAGCGGGCCATCTGTGCTGAGATAGGAAGGATACTTGGACAGGGTAGGTAGATTTTATATTTCATTTGAAGGAAACAAAGAATAACTACAGCATTATATCATTTAAATCCTGTTATGTCGGCTGATGGTTATGTTCAAGGGGGCTGCGCTTGCGGAACACCGAGAACCCCAACCAAGGGGACACTGGCTTCTGGGCGCGAGCAGCAGTCAAAATGGCAATTTTCGTGAAGATCTCACCCCTCACGCACACCCACGGCCACCATAGCAGCAGCGGTGAATGCAGCAGAATCGAAGAACCCTCACAGGAGTACAGTACGGACAACCGAGCGAAGCGGAACTGACCAGCCCAGCGCGAACTGGACCAGCGCGAAGTGTTCATAAGGCTTCACCTAGTAGTCCTCCTCGTCGCTCACGGCCTCACCGGCCGCGATTCTGGCCTTGCGGGCCTTCTCCTTGGCCTTGAGCTCCTTGCGGCTAAGCTGCTTCTTCTGCTGCACAACCTTGACTGTGTTGCCGAACGCGTCAATCATCTCATCCGCCTGCTTCTTCAGCTCCAGCTTCGCGTTGTTCAACCACGCGGGGGCACCCTCGGGCGTCAACAGACCAGCATCCACTCTCCACACCTCAGGGCACAGCGCCGACGTGAACTCGCTGTTATGCGAAATCATCACCACACCACCTCCGTACTCCTTGATGGCGTTCGCGAGCGCGCCGAGAGAGTCGCGATCCAGGTAGTTGGTAGGCTCGTCAAGCACCAGCATGTGAGGGCAGTTCCACATGGCACCAGCCAGCACGAGCTTCACCTTCTGACCACCGGACAGACCGCGGATGCGACTGTGGGTTCCGAACTCCGACTCCAGGCCGAACTCCTCGAGATGCTTCTGCACCATGGCGATGGTGAGCGGGCGCGTGATGAGACCCTGCGCGGCAGCCTCCTTGGCGTCGATCTCGTTCACCAGCTTCACGAAACCCATCTCCTCCAGAGTGTTGCGCGGCAGCCACGTGGTCTCCACGCCACCCTTCCACTGCACCTCGTACTCGTAGCCCTTCTTGAGCTTGCGGCGGGACAGCAGGCAATCGACGATGCGCTTGGTGCCGTCTATCACGACCTTCTCAGCCATCTTCTTCTCCTCGTCCTCCTTGATCTTACGCGACACCTTGTCCTGCTCCTCGCGATCCTCGCCGAAGGCGTAACGCCACCGGATGTACTCGTTGGGCGTCATGTCCAGGTGCTGCTCCACGTGGTGGAACGCGTGCTGCGCCACGTAGGCGACGCGCAGGTTGGGGTGCTTCCAGCACGTGCCAGACTGCATGGGGTGAACAAGGGGGAGAGAAAGACAACGGTCAGTAAGGAAGCGGACTAAGGGGTAAGGGGTAAAGGAAGATCCACGTGGAAGCAGCGTGAAGACACGGAAGACGAAATTTGTGCGCGATGAAATTACAACCCATGTGAGTTTGTTGTTTCCCGTGAACTGAAAATTGATTGCTTACCGTAGCCTCGAGCTCGCCAGTAAGAAGCTTGATGAGCGTCGACTTGCCGGCACCGTTAGGCCCGATAACAGCCACGCGGGAAGACAGCGAGCACTGAACCGTCACGTCCGCCACGGCAATCTTGGTAGCGCCGGGGTACTGGAACGACACGCGCGACATCTTGAGGATGGCCTTGTCCTTGGTCTTAACACCCTCGAGGAACCCGGGCTCGGGGAACGTGAACTTGATGGTCGCCTCGGCCAGCTCGTAGTATACCTTAGCCTCGGGCTTCTGCTCCACGAACTTGCTCAGGTTGCCGCGATACTGCTTCAGCTTGCGGTTCTCGTAGTGGATGATGTCGGTGCAGACGTTATCGAGGAAACCGGAGTCGTGAGACACGATGATGCACGACACGTCCTTGAGGCCGGTGAGGTAGTCGCACAGCCACTGCACGTTTTTCACGTCGAGATGGTTGGTGGGCTCATCCAGCAGAAGGATATCAGCCTTCATGAGCATGGCGCGGGCGAGAGCGAGCTTCATCTTCCACCCTCCGGAGAGCGCGGCGACGGGGCTGGCCTGCCACTCGGGGGTGAATCCGACGCTGGCGAGCGTGTTGACCACGTGCTCCTTCTCGATGCCGACCAGAGCAGGCTCGTTCATGATCAGATCCACCACGGCCACCTCAGCAACGGACGCGTCCAGGTCGTGCTCCACGTACACCGTCTTGAGCTCGTCGGGGCTGGGGAAGCCCTCGAGCTGACCGTTGGCGATGGCGCGCATGAGCGTCGATTTACCGCAACCGTTGGGGCCGCACAGACCATAGCGACGACCGCGCTTGAGGAAGAGACCGGCGTTGTTGAGCAGGATCTTGCCACCATAAGCCAGGGAGAACTCGCAAGTGCAGAGCTCCTCGCCCTCGTCGTCCTCCTCCTCGTACTGCTTCACCTTACGCGACTCGTAGTCCGCCATGCACAGCTGCAGCACCTTGGCGGCCACCTTCTCGGCGTCCTCCTCCGAGACGAACGCCTTGAGCGACGGCACGATCATCTTCTGCCAGTCCTCCTCGTCGAAGTTCTTGAGGATCATCTGCACCGCGCACATCGCGGACACGTAGTCCAGCGTCGCCACCACACCGTCATCAACCACGATCGGCGCAATCTCCGCGAGGGTCGACTTGAGGACCGTGAGGACCATCTCCACCTGCTCCTTGTCGTTGAGAAGGTTCGCCATGATCACCTGCGCCTCCTCGCCCACAACCGACAGGGTCTTATGCGCCTTGGTCGCCACGGTACGGATCTCGGGGTCGGCGGCATCCTTGCTCACCAGCTCAAGCCCCGGGAGGAGCTTGGGCAGGAAGGGCACGGCGGCAAGCGGGTCGTCGATGAGCTTGCTCATGTTCTCCGTGATGATGGCGGACTTACGCTTGATGGCGGGAGCGCGGTCGCGGAGACCGCGGGAGAGGAGCGGCACCATAATGGAGAGGGTCGGCGCGGTGACGGCCTGCACGAAGGTGGTGGCCGACAGCTTGTGCACGGTCTCGGGAACCTCGATGGGGCGGGCGATGGAGCTCACGAGCACGGGGATGAACTGCTCGATATCGCGGTTGCCGATGGCGGCGCAGGCCTCAGTCATGGCGTCGTAGGCGGCCTTGCGCACCTGCTCCTTGCTGTCGCTCATCGCATCCGAGACCTTGGGGACGATCT